CTGGGGAATTCTGGGAGTTGAAGTCCACCCATCTTCAAGTTGCCGAGGTTGAGGAACCCTGTTCTATGGTATTGTGCTCTATGATTATTTTAAACTACTCAGCTTCAGACTCTGTCTTCTTGAATGAAATGGCAGGCACTAGGTTTACACAAGTGCTCCTGTGGCACAGAGTGTAGTCAATAAAAGAATGCTAGTTCTGTGTACAAACGGTCTCGGGTTCAACCCCTAGCATCTCCATTTTAAAAAAAAACAAACCCAAAACAGTGGGTGATAGGAAGAACTCTAGGCTGATTTCACGCATTACCTAACCCCAGAGCTCTCAAGCTTTGCAATAACACCATCCTCTACAACGATACAATAAAGCCGTTCCACTCTTGCCAGGAATAAAACTAATAATTTCATCGGGATTAGAGCTGGACAAGAAATACGTTCAAGAATAATGTTTAAAAACCCCAATGAGATAACTTTCCAACTTCCTAAATAAAACCGTTTCACTGAAGAGAAGCAAAAAATAACCCCAGGCAACCGCTTTAAAACCCACTTGGTTAAGGGGCAGACGAGCTTGCTTCCTCGTGCGTCACTCCAGAAATCTGGGTTTCGTCTGAAGACAGCCCCTCTCGCTCACCAAAGTCATGGGGGTGGGTGGGAAGGGCGTTTCTTTGCCTTAAACCGGCTTCTCCTAAACTGCTGGGGCTTGCAAAACTCAGGCAGGCAGGAAGCTGCTGCTCTGGACCGTCCCTCTCCCCCACCCCTCCCACTTTACTTCTGCAGAGCAAGAAGCCTCGAGGCCTCCGAGTCTGATTATTCCTCTTCGAAGGGCGAAGGCAGGGTGATAAAACAAGAACCCTCTGGCTTCCAGTCCTTCGGTGGTTGCTTTCAGCATCCAACCGGTCAGCCGGCTCAGAAAGGAGCCCTGAGGGGAGGCAACCTTCCTGGAGAAATGCTGGACTAATCTGTTGATCAACAGCTGGTTGAAATAACCACAATTTGCCGCCTTGGCCTCCTGCTCAGCCAAGATGGGGCAACCTCCTCTCAGTTTTCCAGGTAACCCCAGGAGACTCCCCGGGACTGCAATGGGGTCACCCGAAGGAGCTTGATCAAAATACTACAGCCTGTTTTGGGGGGTTGGGGGAGAGATTAACACTGGGAATGGAAAAGAAAGGCATCTAGGAGAAAATCTGCTAACCGTCCCTTCACCCCCAAACAAAACCCTGCAAAACAAGGCAAAATTGCACTGCCAAAACTATCCAAACTATCCAAACTTCTCTTACAGTTCAGAAGTTTTCCTAACTCTTATTTATTTATTTATTTATAGTTCAAATTTAGTCACCACCCTCTCACTCAAGGAGCAACTCTGGGCAGTTTACAATAAAACAAAACAAAACGTTCCTGTAATTTAAACCCATTATTCTGTCTTTTTTGCAACCACATCCTATTGTTGACTCATACGGGTAGTCCTCAACTTACAACCACAATTGGGACCGGAACTTCTGTTGCTAAGCGATGTAGTCGTTAAGTGAGTCGCGCCCAATTTTACGACCTTTTTGCTGCAGTCATTAAGTGTATCCAGCTTCCCCCATTGACTTTGTTTGTCAGAAGCCCCCTGGAAAGGTTGCCAATGGCGATCACATGACCCTGCAGCCATTGTAAATGCATGCCAGTTGCCTAGCACCCAAATTTTGATCATGTGACTGTGGGGATAATATGACAGTGGTAAGTGCAAGGACCAGTCGTAAGTCACTTTTTCAGTGCTGTCATAACTTCAAACGGTCATTAAACGAATGGTCGTTAGTCGAGGACTACCTGTATTTAGTCTGCAATCAAGTACAAATCCAAGACCATCCACAGATACAATTAGCAAACCAAGTATATACCATCCTTTGCCCATCCACTTATTTCCTGTTTCCAAATGAATGATTTTGTCCCTGTTCGATTTAAACCTGTTATTTTTCAGCCCATTTCTATACTCCAGCCTTTCTCAACCTTTTTACCCAGGATGAACCCCTGAAATAATTTTCAGGTCACAGGGAATCCCTGCATAAACATTATTATATCTACCACTCACAATGCATTAGTGTGATCAGTAATTGTAGATATGGTGATTTTATTTTCAAACACAACCCCTTGCAGAACCCTTAGTGAGCGTTGGTGGAACCCCGGTTGAGAAAGGCTGCTCTACCTCTTTCAAAGTATTAGCTGTGCCACCACCCAACTGTGGATCACCTGCAGATCTGATAGGTATTTCCTCTACCTCTTCATCCATGTCATTCATAAAACCATTAAAGAGCCAAGGGCCAGGACTGAGACCTCTCCCCAGTTTGATGAAGAGCCATTAACAAGTGCACTCTGATGATTTTTGAGCCCACTTTAATATCATGCCATACCACATTGTATTTCGCAAAGCACTTTGTTGAAACGAAGATGGATGACTTTTAAACGTTCCCAGAACCTCCTATGGAAGTTACCCCCCCACCACAAAAAAACGTTGGTCTGGATATTCCCAGATCCTTCTTTCCCCTCCTCCAGCTACCCAACGCTTCACTCTTGATCTTGAAAAACTGGGATATACCAAATGGAAAAAAGGCTGTGCTCGGTTTCACACCCTGCAGTAAAGCATGGCTTATTTCAGAGGGCTTTCTTGAACAATCCATTAGCATATTTCACATCACACTAAGCCACGAACCACAGTTTGCAAGCCATAAAGGCTTAGTTCACACAACACACTGAACAAAAACAAATACACTGAATCAAATGGCCCAGGTTCCCACAAAACGTAAGCCACAAAAAAAGTATCAAGAATCAAATTAGCCAAGCTTAGCAAGTGTGAATGCACAGCCATATGATCTGTAACTCACCTAGCGAAGCGTGTGGTGTAAATGCAGCCTCTGGGTTAGCGCAATAGGCCCCGGAGAGCCTTGCCACTCTGGAGCAAGGTGACCACGAGCTTGTTCACCCATACAAGGACTTTGTACATTCTGACTTCTGATGACCCACCCCGACTTTCTTCTGCACTCACTCACAGAATCATAATCCTCGGGTGGGAAGGGACCCTAGAGGTCCTCTAGTCCAGCCCTCTGCCCAGGGCAGGAATCCTCAGACCATCCCAGCAAAGGGCTCTCCCACCTTGGCTTGAAACCCTCCAGGGACGGAGCCACCATGACTGCAGGAGGCAGGCTGGTCCACGGCTTAATAGCAATCATGGTCAGGACATTCCTCCTTCTGAGTTTGGTTCTCCCTCTGTTAACCTTCCACCCACTGGTTCTTGTCTTACTCTTGGGCACTACAAAAAATAAATCATGCCCTGCGAAGAACATTAGCCTGCTATCCTGTCTTCCCTCTGCTTTCTCTCCTTTTGGTTAAACCTGTGTTTCTCAACCTCGGCAACTTTAAGATGGGTGGACTTCAACTCCCAGAATTTCCCAGCCAGCATGGCTGGCTGGGGAATTCTGGGAGTTGAAGTCCACACATCTTAAAGCTGATGAGGTTGAGAAACACTGGGTTAAACAGACAAACCATTCTTTTCACCGTTCTTCATAATATTCTGCCTCCATGTCTCTCCCCATCTGCGCTGCTCTTCTCTGCACTCGCTGAGACCCAAAGCCTGGCCAGATATCCCCTGACCTGCCATGTTCTCCCATGGGCACGAACAGGGAAAAGCTCCCTGCCCATCGCACAGTTTGGTGGCCAGGCGCAGGGGCGGGAGGAACAGTCAGCAGGGGCCGGGTTCACACATTGCTTCTGACTTGCTGATCCCTGGAAGGGCAGTCACACAGAGGACAGAGCACTTACATGGCAAACATGGGACGTCAACCCACACCATTTTCTTAATCAGCCCAACCATGCAGCCAGGTGAGCACCGAGGGGCTGCCACCCACACATACCTCCTGGGCTGAAACCGGCAGTCGTCTTCTCCGCTGTCGGCCTCCTGGATGTGCAAGAGAAGAGGGGTGGGGGATGAAGGAAGGAGAAAGAGTTCAATGCGTATTCCATGTATTTATATCACTCCACCAATGTGCCCGGTGCGTTACAGCAGGGGTTTTCCAAGTGCATTCCATGGAACCATGAGAGGCGAAAGGCAAAAAGAGTTCACTCAAACTCAAACTCAGTTAATTATCTATCATTAGAGCTTTGCCTCTTGATCGGGGGCTCTGCGGATTTTTTTTTTTTTAACTAACAGGTTCAGCAGCCTGGAAAAGTTTGAAGATCCTTGCCTTAGAGTAGGCAAGAGCACAGGTTATTTGTATGTATGTATGTATGTATGTATATATGTATGTATGTATGTATGTGATTTCTATAGCCATCCAACTCAACAAGTGATTTTGGGCAGCGTACAATCATAAAGACATTAAACAATTAAAACGATACAAATAAATATATATGGTCGCCACGTAAATTATGGCCAGAGATGTTAATATAGCCAGGAAACGGGGCCCTTAACATACTCGGGGCCCCAGGCCTGGGCACATAACCAGGCAGGTCTTCACAGCCTTACAAAAGGCCCAAAGGCTCAGGGCCACCCTGATCTCTGGAGGGAGGATGTTCCAGAGGGCGGGGGCCACGGCAGAGAAGGCACGTCTCCGAGTCCCACCAGCCGACATTCCTTGGCTGATGGGACCCGAATCACGCCCAGCCTGCCAAATTGGACGGGTAGAAACAATTGGGAGAAGACAGTCCCTCAGGTAACCTGGTCCCAAGCCATGCAGGGCTTTAAAGGTGCCAACCGGCACCTTGAATTGCACCCAGAAGCACACGGGCAACCAGTGCAGCTCACAGAGTAGAGGTGCTACATGCGCCAAATAACTGGCAACATTTTCTACCCATGCAGCCACATTCTGCACCAGTGGAAGCTTCTGAATGCTCTTCAAGGGCAGCCCCATGAAGAGCGCATTGCAGTAATCCAGACGAGAGGTCATGAGGGCATGAGTGATTGCAAGCAAAGCCTCCTGGTCCAGGAACAGGTGCAACTGGCACACAATCTGAAGGTGGGCAAAGGTCCTCCCAGCCACGGCTGCCACCTGCTCTTCCAGCAGGAGCCGAGTCCAAGAAGACACCCAGATTGCACACCAGGGCCATCTGGGGCAGTGCCACCCCATCCAGGACCAATGATGGAAAAACCTTGTTACCAGAAGGCCCACATACCCAAAGCCTTGCTTGGTTGAGTCGAAGCCCATCCAGACCCTTACAGCCTCCAGGCACTGGGACAGAACACCCACGGCATCACTCAGGCAGCCTGGGGTAGAGATACAAAGCTGGATATCATCAGCATATTGATGATACCTCACCCCAAACCATCGAATCACCTCACCCAGCGGCCTCATGTAGATGTTAAACAGCAGAGGAGAGAGAACCGAGCCCTGGGGCACCCCACAAATTAGGGGTCACGGGCTGGATCTCTCCCCCCCATCAACACTGACTTGAGTAAGGAGGAAAACCAGCACAACACTGTGCTGCCCACCCCCAACTCCTGAAGCTGGTCCAGAAGGAAACCATGATCGATGGTATTGAAGGCCGCTGAGAGGTCAAGAAGAGCAAGGATGGTCACACTGCCCCCATCCCACTCCCGCCAGAGGTCATCTAAGAGTGCAATCAATGCCGTCTCAGTCCCGTTATCCGGCTTGAACCCTGACTGAAAAGGGTCCAGATCATGCGCTTCATCCAGGGTCCTCTGCAGCTCCCACGTGACCACTTTCTCCACAATCTTCCCTAAAGAGGGGAGGTTGGAGACTGGACGAAAACTGTCCAGACGGGTTAGGTTGAGCGGTGGCCCCTTGAGGAGAGGGCGCACCACCGCCTCCTTAAGAGCCAACAGAACCACCCCCTCCCTCAAGGAATTATTACCCACCGCCCAGACCCAATCATACATCCCCTCCTGGGCAGCCTTAACCAGCCAGGAGGGACACAGATCTAACACAGAAGTGGCTGAGCTAACAGCTGCAAGAGCCCTGACTACTTCCTCAGATGCAACTCCCCCCAGATAATCATGCAAGACTTAGCCCCCGTAGCCTCCACTGATTCCTGCTCTGATAACACAGGAAACAGAGCAAGAAAGGGAGGGGGCAAGGGATATCTACAAAACCCAAATGTGCTGCAGCTGTGACTTCTTAAGTCTGGGAAAAAACTCAGTTTCAGAAAGACACAGGATTACTACTATTGTTGCTGTTATTAGAGGTAGTCCTCAGGTTATGACCACTCGTTCTGCGACAGTTCAAAGTTATGACGGCGCTGAACAAGGGGGACTTATGACCGGTCCTCAAAGTTCTAGCCATTGCTCAGTGCCCGTGTGTGATTATGATGTCACAGCGTCCTGTGGTCACGTGGTTGCAATTTCTGACATTCCCTGCTGGCTTCCCACAAGCAAAGTCAATGGGGAAGCTGACAGAAAGTCAGAAGTCACTCCTGCTGCTTTTTTGCCAACCCGTGCTCTGTAGTGCCTGCCCGCATCACCCCCTGCCCCTCCACAGCACCCACGCACCTCCCCACATTCCAAAGTGCCTGCCTGTAGGCCTCCCCCACAGCTCACCTGTGTGCCTTACCTGGGACTCCTGCCACTTCTGGAGTCACATGATCCTAGGGTTACGACAGCAAGTGGGACTGCCGTTGCTAAGCAACACAGTCACGTGACATCGCACTTTACGACTGCAGCGCTTAGCAATGGAAGTTCTGGTCCCATCGTAACCTGAGGACTACCCATATTATTATTTACACACAGTCTATCAGAAAGTTCTGACAAGGTTTGGTACTCCTGACTACCAGATCCTTCACAAGGATCTACAATAGCTAAAGATACCATTGTAACATGCACTTTGTTCCAAGTAATGTGAGTTTTTGTAACTGATGTGTTGAGATTTTGTCCATTCCTACAGTGTCTAAGTACTTTTCCAGAACTTTTGGTATGGCAAGATGATGATGGTGATGATGATGATGATGATGATGATGATGATGATGATGATTTTGTATTCTCTTTAGGATCAATACAAGCTTTAGCCAAAGGCATAGGAATTGTCCAAATATTGTTGTAATATATAAGTAGTTCTAAGCAGAGGAGTTCTTTGTAAGCTGAAGGTTGTAAGGTCAAATAATTGTGACAATTCTCCTCCTATAGCTCCAATGACTATGGAGAATCTTTGGCCAGCTTATTCCACAGTCTCTGTATTTCACTTGTTAAGGCCTGATACTTTACATCAAGATCATCCCCTTCATCTATTCAATTTGTATGGCTTGGTCTCTAGTAAGAATCCATGAATCCATAAAAATCCTCATGGTAAACAAAAGTTGACAATCAAAATATCACTACTGATATGATAACAGCAGCATTAAAAAAAGCAATAATCCACCGAGGGTGAACCACTTTGTAAAGGTGCTCCAGAGGGGTCTGGCTTCCTCCAGAAGGCCGTTCTCAAGGGGGCCAGGCCAGCTTCAACAGGGAGGCTGCTCCTGGCCTCTGCCCCCCTCCCCTCTTGGAACTGGGCACCGCTAACAGCTTCTTCTAGGACAGTGTTTCTCAACCCTGGCCACTTTAAGATTTATGGACTTCAACTCCCAGAATTCCCCAATTGGCATGGCCACTGCTGAGAATTCTGGGAGTAAAGTCTGCATGTCTGGAGGGCTCCCAGATTGAAAAGGGCCAGCTTATTCTTCAGCACCTGGTGGAAAAATAATTCAGCCCCCCTTTACCAAGGTCTAGAGCAGTGTCTTTCAACCTGGGCAACTTTAAGATATGTGGACTTCAACTCCCAGAAGTCTGGCTGGGGAATTCTGGGAGTTGAAGTCCACACATCTTAAAGTGTGGAGTCCTTGGGGTTCTCTGAGCTTGGTTCTTTTCTTGCAAGCGTTTCATTACCCCAAGGACTCCACAGTTCAACCCTGAGTTACACATATTCGCCTCTATCGGTACATCTTAAAGTGGCCGAGGTTGAAAAATACTGCCCTAGAGCTTTACAGGTGAAATCAGCCGCTCCATACAGCCACACGAGAAGGGCATTCAGACCCTGCTAGTCTTTCAGAAAGCCCATAAGATCCGGCTCTTTGCCCAGGTGCTGGAGGTCAGCCAAGCCTGTGATGTATTAATTTATTGTTGGGTTTATCCTCAGTTGCCTTTTTTTTTTTTTTGCTTCTGCTATGTTTATATCTCCATTTTTATTGTTATATTGATGTTTTCAATGGTGTTTGTCACCTAGGGTGACCTTACTGGGATGGGCAAGTGTATAAATCAAATCAAATGAAACCAGCAAATAAATACAGGCAGGCTGCTGATGGAAGATCTCTGTGCTTCGGGCTTCAGAAGGTGGACTCCTCTTTAAAACTTCCTCCTCCCCACCACCTCCTTAGAGACGCTGCCTACGACACAGAGCGGCGGTTTCGTTTTGGTCTTTAAAAGACGACAAGCCAAAGTTCTCCCTTGGATTTCCATCCCCGTGGAAGGAAGCTTGCTCGAAAGGAAGCAAACTGTTCCAAGGGAGGAGAGGCTGCGCTGTAGGTCGGAAGCACCCAAATCTGCAGAGAAATCCAAGGAAGGGAGCCAACGAAGCTCTAGATCAGTGTCTTGCAAACTGGGCAACTTTAAGAAGTGGGGACTTCAGCTCCCAGAATTCCCCAGCCACCATTCTGGGAGTCGAAGTCCACCCATCTTAGGTGCACAAGGATGAAAAGGACAAATTAACATCAGTTATCTCAACACCCCGTTCCCAACAACCCCAAGCATGGTCCTTCCAGGAAGTTCCTGACTTTCATCGTCATAACGCTGCTCCAAAGACTTAAGAATCCAGTCTTGGATTACTTCCTGTTCCATCCCCCACCCATACAAACCCACAGGGGAGCAGACCAGGGTCAAAAAGAAGTGGAGAAGGGTATGCCTTCCGCAGTTCCATGCCAGTTCCAATTCCTATACCACTTCTGAGCGTAAGCCCACAGAACCCAACGCGAATA